TGTTGATTAGGGCCGGAGGAAAGTATTGTTGGGTTGGTTACCTACCTACGTTTTCCCTCCCACCCACCCCTTGCATGCATCCCGGTTCGGTACAGTGCCACGTCAGCAGCGCCACGTCACAGTGCCAGATCAGCAGTGCCACGTCAGCAGTGCCACGTCACAGTGCCAGATCAGCAGTGCCAGGTCACAGTGCCACGTCAGACTCAGTGCCACGTCAGCAGTGACGTCAGACAGTGCCACATCAGCAGTAACGTCAGACACAGTGCCACGTCAGCAGTGCCACAGCAGCAGTGCCACAGCAGCAGTGCCACGTCAGCAACATGACGGGCCTGCCAGGGCAACTGCCCAACGAGTCCCTTGCCGCCTACAAGCAGCGATTCCACGCTCAGATTGAGGCTGAGGAACAACGCCAGCTGGCAGCTGAGGCTGCCCGCGTACAGGCTGAAGAGGCAGCAGCAGCAGAGCAGCTGCGGCTACAGGCCGACGCAGACGCAGATGCCCAGACTCGCCGCAAGGAAGCCCAGGATCTGCTGCAGCGGCATGAAGCCAACAGCATCGACAGACTCAAGTTCTGGCACTTTGAACCGAACGGCAACGAGGCAGCACTGGAAGAGAAGCACAAGGAGTTCCTCTCCAAACTCGTGACAAGGTTGTTGTACGCTTGCAACTACCAATGGTCAGAGTTGGCGAGACAGTACCAGGACCTGACGCAACAGCATCAGGAGTTGGCAAAGTTCCGCCGCATAGTGCAGAGCCACGAGGATGCAACTCGGGCACTCAATGCCCGATTGCTGGTCCTGGTACAACAGGCTGTACCAGGACCAGCTGCTGGGGCTTCCAGCAGTGCACCCTCTAGCCGCCAACTGGAGGACCTCGTTGACCACGTAGTGGCAATGCTCGGCGACATCAGCACTTTCGCTGCGCCGACCACCACCATCAGCAGTCAGCTGCATACATTGAAGACCGAGGTCCAGCAGCTGCAGTCGGTGAACGCGGACGACAATCCGAAGATGTACAAGATGCCAACTTTCAACCTGGAGAGGTTCGACGACTACACGCAGCAGGATACGGTCCTCTGGTGGGAAGCATTCACAACGCAACTCAGGATTTTGCACGTAGCCAAGCATGCGTACATCGGCGCCCTGTTCCTGAACTCAAAGGGCGGATGCCAGACCTGGTTGAGCCACCTGGCAACCTCCCACGGCGTCGACGTACCAAACTTGAAGGACAAAATCACATGGGAGGAACTGACACGGCTGTGGAAGAATCGGTTCATCGTCGACGACGCGCCAGCACTCGCCATCAACCGTCTGTTCACCATGTCACAGGGCAACACTGCAACACGGGATTGGCTCACAGAGTGGCAGAAGATTGCGGCAGTGCCCAATCTGGATCTGCCTTTCACTCATCTCAGACGTGAGTTCTACAACAGGTCCTGTGCTGCATTGAGCCAGGCTCTTGGTGATCGCGAGCAGTACTCCACTTTCGCCGAGATTATCGACAAGGCGAGAGAGATCATCAAGACCAACAGGTCAGCTGCACACCAGAGATCAACATGGCAGCCGACCTATGTGGAGAAGGTACGAACTGGTCCGCGACAACAGCACTTCGTTGCAGTCCAGCAGGACAGTGGAGATAACCCAGCAGTCACTCCAGCATCAAGTGACGGAGATCAGGTGGCTGCTGTCCAGCCGCTAAGCAACAACAAGTCCCGCAACAATGGGAAGGCGAAATCCGCATCGCAGGCCGGAAATGGACAACCAGTACAAGTTCCATGGGTCAAGTTTGGCTTGACCGAGGCGGAGTACAAGGTCCGCGGCCGCTATGGCAGCTGCTA